TTAATTTTCGCGAGACTGATCAGCGCAAAAGTTTTCTTCTTTTTTAAAATAAAGGTAAAACGGATAATGCGACAGATTAAACGGATTTTAAAACGATCGGTTAAAGATGATTATCCACTTTTCATTCAATTCTTGCTTCAATTCAATTTTGTTAAAATAAATAGTATTTTTCTTCGTTCATTCCCTTGTTACTTAAATCTTATTGCTGTAATTCTAAAATTCTATACACACACACACACACACACACACACACACACACACACACACACACACACGTGTGTGTGTGTGTGTGTATATATATATAAAAATTTTTTAAATAATTTTGAATTTTGCAAAAATAAAAAAGTATATATTATTGAAATAAAAAAAATTTCATCGAAAATATATTCTCTATCGTAATAAAAAATATTATATATTTATATAAATTAAAACACACACATATATTATTAATTTTATATCCATTGTGCAGAGTTTTATACATTTTCAATTTTCTCGTTAGAATTCTGATGCGATTGTTTAGTAAAATCATATACGTAGATTGCGTACGCATATGTGTCCATTATATACAATACAGTATATATCGAGAAGAGAGGGAAGAGATCGGGTAAAAGCAGGACGGAGACCCGTGGATGGATATTGATTTGCCGCTGTGTCCGGAGGAGTAAAGAGAGTGATCAGTCGTGAAAGTCGATGAACCATGCGAGCCGTATGCGGGCGATGCCCAACAGCCGAACGCTTTTTATGGCCGGAACTTTCATAATTTGTATTATGTTCGAAAAATATTCGAAAAATGTTACGCGTAGTAACCGTGTTGCCAAGTTGAACGGATCATTCAGAAAAAAGTTTTCGACTTCCCGTTACCTCGAGTTATAAATTCTATCCGTGTTTTCCTAAAAATTTCCTTATTATAAATTTATATCCCGTCTTACTTTACATCCCGCCAGCTTTAAAATCAAAGTTCTTTTTTATTTTACATTTTTCTCAGTCTATTTTCAAACTTTCTTTAATTTCTAAGCACCTAACTTTTTTAACAACTTTTTAAAACATATTAAGAGAAAAAAAAATCTTTTCTTCATTAATTAATTTTGGATTTTACCAAATATAGCGTCAATCGATTTATTCTGATCAAATTTAAGAGTTATCGATATACATATTTCGGCATTCTTCGCAATATATATTTTTGCAGAAAACTTTATGTATCAATCGTACGCCATTCCATTTTTATCGTATCACTATTCTTTTGCATATTCTCTTTTTACGCAAGAAGATCGCCATCCCATCATTTTCTGAAATGGTAGAAATCGACATGATAAACACGATACACAGACATCGTTTTGCAATATATATCGATAGATTCACCACGACGTGCATTGACAAATCGCGCCGCAAGATCAAAGCGCGAAAGACTCGAGAGAGAAAAAGAGAGAGAAGAAAAGCGAAGCGGATCGGCAAGAGCGGAAATTTCTCAAGAAAATTGCGGCGAACGTCCGACAATGGTAGTAAAGGGAAGAGAGGGATGACATTCGGAGAAAAGGTCAGCGATTTACGGGCATCCATCGATGTCGAGGGTTAGGGCAAGAGAGGGTTTCTGTACATGGGCTGAGAGGGGTTGCTTCTGTACGTATCATATGGCTGCGCGGGATGCTGGTCCCTGGTGACTCTTTTCCGTCCGTTCTCCTCCCTTCTCTTTAGTTGCCTACTTCTTCTTCCGGATTCTGGCTCCCATTTTGACAACGACGGTGAAATTCATCGCGGTCGTTCGCCACAAAGTATCAGGAAGCTCTTTCTCTTTTTTCCTTTTTCTTTCTCGTTTTCTTTCTTGTTCCGTGTTCCTTGTCCTTAATCTCGTTTCTGCAAAATGCGTCTCCATTTTCACGGGATGAATGGAAATTCTTGGGACGAGGAAAGTGGAAGGAGAGAGCAGGCGATAAAACAATTCCCAGCGGCCCGCGACTCGATTTATCGAACTGTTATGGCGAGCGAGGAAAATCCGACGATAAAATGATCGCCGACTAGAGTATTTTATAGATGGAAAAAGAATATCGATCTCGCAGATGTGTCTCGATTATTAATTCAATATGTTACAAGCTTACCGAATCGATTATGTTATTATACTTCAAGTAAACAATCTATCATGAATTTTCATAATTAAGAGATTCAAATATTCGTGTAAAATGTAAACACCTTTTCTTTAAATCTTTCGTGAATGGCATTTTAATGAAAGTTTACAAAACTTAAATAGCGAAAAGCAATTTCTAAAAGTTTAAAGATTTAAAAAAAATACCTCAAAGATTAAATTTCATCATTTCCTTGTAAATTACATAGAGAAGGAAAAGATGCTTTAAGAAATATTGTAAAAAAGTAATTGCCGCGAAATCGCACAGATTAAAATCAACATATTTTTAATAATACTGTAGTCAAAAAGCAACATTCCTTCAGACTTTAAAGCTTTGAAAGACTGTTAATCCTCGAAGGGGCTATTGCTTATAATTACGCTTCGTCGAGAGACATTATCCTTTCGTGCAACGCTCGCTCTTTCTACCCTTTCAGAGAAAATCTCCTTAACGAAGGATAATGTCAGCCGGTGCTGGGCAACCAGCTTCTAAATATTAGCAATTACCCGGGGTCTACGCAAACCCATCATTTACCTGTAGGCCATATTAACCCTTTCAGGACGATCATTTTCACGGTTTAAACTTCACGAGCAGTCATTTGTCTCTCTCTTTGATCGATGAGTGTATAATTAATTACAAATATTCGTTAAATCATATTAATTTGCACGTATAACGGAATATTATGCCACTGCACATTGTACGTATAAACCGCGAAAATATATGAATATTGTAATTAATTTAATGACTAATTGTAACCAATTAACCAAGAATTGTTCGGAAATTGTAATTATTAATTCATTAAATTATTAATAATACAATCTAAAATTTCCAGTAATTTTAAATATTTTTTGAATAAAGCTTCCTTAAAATCTTTAAGAAGTTTTAATACTGCACTTTGATTAATATCATACTATAGAACAACCGGATAGAATAATGAGTAGGTACAAATCATAAAATGTGTACGACATAAATTTGCCGGATCAATCATGTCGATGGCCTACTTTAATAATCACCACTCTGCTTATGAGACACGCAAAATTGCAATTCCCACTGCACTTCGTCCAACCACAAACTAAACCGTATCTCTCTCTTATACTCTCTTATATTAGATTAATCATCTATATTAGATTTTCTCTCAAAGCAAGGTTCTCTTTCCTTGTCGTTGTATAATTCTGTTCAAAAGTCGCACTGTAATTAAACTATGACGAAGTAATATATATATATATATATATATATATATATATATATATATTTCGCAATAAATTTATATATTTCGTAAAAATGCAGTCTTAATATTTTATTAAATTAATTTACAGAAAATAATTATTTTATTTAAATTTTATTTACATTTAATTTGTTTTTTATGAAAATTTCAATTATATTTTCAAAATAATCAAAAAATCATTATAAAATATCTATAATAAATGATGTATGTATATTGTATTTGTACATCTTCTTATTGGTAATTCGCCAATATTCTCCTTGTTCAAAAGTGCCCGATCATTTTAGAAAGATTGAGAAACCGGATAAAATCAAAGTGTAATGTAATGCGTCTAAAAATTTTGGCAACAACCACCGTACATTTCCTGCGCTTGGCAATTAATCAAGCTCGTAGGGCAAACAGCCTAATGAACCGAGTATGTGCGTGATCGAACTGCCAGATTGCTTCTCTCCATCTCAAGGGTCGGAAAAAAAATGTTTTCGTACGATAACTAATGCATTACGAAAAAAAACCTCAACAACTAATGACGTTTTTATAACCAATCAAATGAAAAGACAAACAAAATTATATTTCTCTTTCGTTATTGTTCATTTAACAAATTAAACTACTGCGTGAAATATTTTTGACATCTTAAAATGATTTTTTATCCTTTTTAAAATATTACATTAAAAAATATAGAAGAATATTTTCAAAAATTTTTTCAAATGTAATGCACGTAAGTATATTTTTTGACTTCTCGATAAATTTGAATAACATATTTATTGAATAAAAAAATCTAATATTTTCAGAATTTTTTTTCGTAAAATATTAGTAATATTTTATATAAATACTTAATGTTACCTCCAAATCTATTAATCTTATTGTTACTTCCAAACATCGATCGATGTACTCGCGAGTAAATTAATTGTCGCCACAATATAGATCGCAAAATCCAGAACGCTCGACCTGTCACTTCAGGTTGACGCGAGCAAATCGATCGGTTCTTTCATCACGCGACTCGACACTCGTCCTGCGGGAGGACCCATCAAGGAGCATCTCGACCGACCCGCAATACGCGATCGATAAACGATTGCGTATGCACCCACGCACGCACGCCTCGTTCATCACGTTCTGACAGATATAGGTTCGCGTTTATTAATTTTAGTTATTGCCGAGCGCGCAAACGTGAAGCTCATCACCAATCTAGGCGTGTACGCACGCGAAAAAAAAATACAACGACGAAACAATGCGAGAGATTTTCGGTACGTGAAATTAGGTTTTTATTTCGTCAAGATATTGATTAAAAAGTTCTAATTAATAAAAAATTATCGCACTAATAATATTTTAATATACTTCAATTTTTACTTTAATAAATTGTATATTAAATAGTAATACTTTTTAATTTTTAATTTAAATTTAATTTAATTTAAATTAAATTTTTAATTTAAATATATATTAGAAAAAATTATACCTCTCTCTCTCTCTCTCTCTCTTTCTTTCTCTCTCTCTCTCAGAATGTTCCTTTGGCCGCAGTCTTTTTACGTTTGTATTACAAACTTATGCTATAATTTGTATTTTTATCAAAGAAGACCCGTAGGCATTTCCGAGATCAATCTGTTCTAGGAGAACACGAAGTAATTTCAAAGGAGAATTGACTTAGGGAATAAGAATATTTGGAGACATACCCGATGAGGAAGAAGGCCCCAATGTAGATCAAAGATCCCTGCAATAAAAGAAAACGAAATTAGAGAAGTTTGCAAGACGTACAGCGTTACTAGCCACGTAATATTACGGTGTCCTCTGTTTGTTCTTAATTCTTAAATGAGCAAGTTCCTTCAACAGAAGTGATTTAAAGTGTTTCAAAGTTAGTGTTTCGTAGTAACTTCTACAAAAGACAGAAGGAAAAAAAATGCTGGCTAAAAGATAAATTATCTTTGAACATTTTGGAGGAGTTAATCAAAGAGCTTACTTTCTCCAAGCGTTTTGAAGCCTTATTTTTGATCACAAAAATGTAGATACGCGGTGCAAAAATGTTTGAAGGAAACTTATAATATTAATAAGCATATGTAATTTCTCTTTTTTTTTTTTTTTTTTTTTTTTTTTTTATTTTTAAAATATGATTTTTTCTTAATTAAATTTTTCCAAATATACAAATATATTTTTTGCATTTTTATAATTATAATAAATTAAAGATTATAAAATAATAATACAGAAAATCCAAAGAAATAAAATCACACTATGTGTTCTTTAATTAAAGTAAAATTATTTTTATAAATTTAATATTTTTTCCAAAATAATACAAAATAAAAGGTTTGGTAAAAGCAAATATTAAGAAATTAGATAATAAATTTGTATTAAAGGAAAGTCAAATCAAAGTTAGTAAAAAAGATTCATATAATTAACAAGTTCGAAATGTCTCACTAATATCTAAACGTTCTATGGACGATTCTCTCTTCACTCGCAATGTCACGTTGCGCATATTAGTTTCTCACTCTGTATATCCCGAATATTTTCCTTTGACGACATTCGCATTATAATTAAGTTCACTCGATTTCAGTTTCACAAAGATATTATTTCTTTCGAGAGTATTAATCAAATTTACCCTTCGAATTTATACGTGTTATCTAAACTTATTCACATTGCTCACAATTACTTGTATTAATCGAATTTATTCGCAAGATGCTTGAATTTATTCGTATTAAGCGATTTCTGAAATGTTTGCACATAGGTTTTACGATGGTTTAAAGTGGCGTTGTCGTAAAACCGGAAAACCGACAATATTCCGCAGAAACTTTGAAAACAGTTTACATATTTTTCCCAAGCAGTTTTAAACGGCTATTGAAAGTCTAAAAGTTGTTTTCTACTGAAACTTCTCAACGGGACTTTTCTTCCTGTCAAAAAAATCTCTCATTTAAGTCAAGTATTTTGTTTCTAATTATTCATTTTTTTAAATAAAAAGGTCACCAGAGAGATTTTTTTCATCTTTAAGTACAACAAAAATTTTAGTTTTTATTAAATTATTTAAAAAATCTAAAGTTTTAGTATAATATATTTTTTAAGTTAAATTAAAAATGTAACAATATAAAAAAATATATATCAATTCCATTAGTATTCGATAAAATTAAAAACTATGATTAAAGATTATAAAATTTTCAATCTAAATATTCAAAAAATTTTACATAAAAATTCCGTGAATAAATTGATATTATTAAAAAGAAGTTAAATTAATTAATTTCTATAAAATTATTATTATAACAATAAGCAATTTTCCATGAAAGAGAGCTTTCTCGCAAGTCCAAAGCAATTTTAAAAGCACTGCTTTGCATTCCTTGGAAAATTTCGATTTTATTGGGAGAAATATAAATGTCAGTTGCTTGCATAAGTCATCTCGTGTGCATTAGGAAACCGAGATATCGATATTAACGGCGCCATTCGGCGATGCAATTCCGGTCATTAGTGTATGCATCGCGCGATGCATCATCGCGAACGGCGCGATAAAGTCGCGGACAGACGCGAGTGCAGTAAAAGCCGGTGCATTAAGGCCGGCAAAAAGCGCGAGCTCGTCAACACGCGCGGTTACTCTACACGCGTCGCGTCGTAACATAAATAATCCCGACCGGCCACGTGGTTGTTGGGTGGTCGGCTTCTTCTTCGCGGACAAACGAATCCCGTCGCGTTCTCCGTCCCGTCATTTCGGCGACGATAACGATTAGAGATTAATGGCGACGAGAAACGTAGGCGTCGTAAAATCCGCAAATAGGCCGTCTATATGATTCCTATTTTCGGAACGTCGTTAAGCTCTGATTGTTGCCACGTATAAGTATCGCCGAATATTTAACGTTCCGCCAACGCTTTTTCTGACAAATTGACAAGCTAATTCTCCCACATTATTTTTCATATTATTTTGCCAAGTTATTTCAGCTCAATCTGAAATATTCCACACATTTATTCCTAAAATAATAACGTTCAAAATTGATTAATGCATTCATCACAATTTGTGTACAAAATTGGATTTACAATTCCCAGCGAAATGTTAATGATTGCCACAGGCATATGTAGATTTAAAAATATATATGTACATTAAGGGCAAAGATTTATACATAAACATTTTTACAAATTATTGAGAGAGAGAAATAGCGATAAATTCTAACAAAAATTCAAAAATATTACTAACAGTTTTATATCAATATTTCCAGTATGAAAACTTTTACTAATAGCGAGCATTTTAAAGAAAGGTTTTGAAAGTACACACAATAACGAAATAATCGCTGGCGCTAAGTTGGTAATTTCGAAACAGTCGTTAAACTAACGTACTCATTAGTGTTTAATCGTGTTTTAAACGGTTCTTTAAAAATTAAAAAAAGAAAAGAAAATTAATTACGCACGCTGAAGTTTTTCTTTAAATACTGTGAAATATAAAGTGCTATTAAAAAAAATATTGCAGGAAAAAAATTTAATAATTCTTATCTATTACATTATTTTCTATTAATATCGACGTATGACTTTATACTTACACGTACAAATGATGGATTTCCCTCCATCCTTATTTCTATAAAAATATCAATAGTCAAATAAGATTCCCTCATATAGACTTTATTGATACTGATAGAATTCAACATTTTATAAATTTCTTTATATCTCCTGATCTCGCATCCATACAGAGACATATATACGATTCGTCGATTTTCCATCGACGAATCTCATATTCTTCAACTGCCGAGACAGCAATATTTCAATTGTACACATGCACACAAACACATACACAGACATATTATATTGTATATTGAGCCTTTTTTTTCAAAATACTGAAGAAATCTTCGAAATAGTCGAATTAAACTCTTCAAGATCTCTTTTAAATTAAACTTCTCTTATTTTGGAATAACTTTTTAAAAGATGACTTATGAATTTTTATTGCTACTTTTATTACAATTTTTCAAAAAATGGCTTATGAATTTTTATTGCAACTTAGAATAAATTTTCTCTTAATAAAAAATGTTAAGATATATAAGCAATCAAAAATGAATCATTTTTTGGCTTCCAAATTTTATATATATTCTTTGTTCAATTTTTTTTAACTTTAATTTGAGACTCAGAAAATCATTACGATATTAAATGTTAAAAATTCCAAAGTATCGAAGAAAAATGACATTTAATTCAATTTTTGTCAATTTTTTCAAAAAATTTACTAATGAAGTTTTCTCAGAAATCGTTTTGTATATCCCATTTGTGGTAAAAGAATTTGAAATTTTATAAGATTCTTCATTCTCTCCTTCAATAAACTTCATCACACATATCCATACGAGAACGTTTTCCGTCGACGAATCTCATATTTCCCAACCGCCGACGTAGCAATATTCCGTCTATATGAACGGTGATACGCCCTGACTTTTTCCATCGAAGAAACCTTGCAGCGGATTGCTGCGTTCCACCAATATTCTATTAGGTATCGTATCCTTCCGCCGAAGAAAACCTCTCGAACTCTTTAATGCGTTTCTCTCTCTACCGAACACTTTTCGCATTTCGATAATCATGTAAAAGTCGCGTCACTTCGAATGGAAAAATAGCGACACACTCGGTTTTCCTTCGCTCCAGCCAAACTTCTCGCATTATCGACACGCGGTGTCGCCGTCTCACCGCCGGAAGTCTTCAGTTTCGTCGCAATTCGCTTTTCCGGGGAAATAGAACGCATTCCGCGAGATATAAAGAAGAAAAACTTCCAAATTCCAATCTAAATTTGGCACCAAATTTAACTTTATTCAACTGATACTAGTACCAAGCGAGTCTCCAACGGAAACGACTCTCGGACTCTTTAACCAGTATATATTTTAATAATATATTTTCTTAAAAGTCTTTTTTCAATATAGCAGGTATGGTTTTTATTTTCCTCATACACCTATTGTTAATCGAAAAGCATTAAATATAATATTATGAAAACGTTATTATTAGGCTACATTAATGCTACATACATTTAAAATTGAGAAACCTCTGTTTTCTTAAGAAAGTTTTAACATTTTATGTAATGATTTGAAACTTTTCGTTATTGATGAGACATTATTTTATATTGATTTTGTAATGTAAGATAATATGATAATATTATACGATAATAATAAATTTGTGGAAGAAGATATGTTATAAATTTTATAATCAAGCACTATTTATTAAGTAGATCAATATATCGATCATTGATACTTGATTATTTTTCAAATATAAAATATTTTACTATTACTTTTCATTGAAATATCAGTGAAAAATACTCAAGTATTAATAATCGATATATTCACATACTTAACAAACAGTGCTTAATTATATAACGAAAAGTTTCAAATCATTACATAAAATGTTAACACTTTCTTAAGAAAACAGAGGTTCCTTCAATCGGATGTTTTCTTAATTTCTCTGATAAGCGCGATATATTTCACGTGTTCCAAGAACGTTAAATCGATCGTAAGATGCATGCGAATCTGACGTATCTGATTATGAATTCCGAAGTCGATCATGTGAGGTAAAGATAAGATAAAATGGTCGGTATGCTATTAGTACGGTTGCTTATTATACCATCGAAATGACGAGCTTCTCTTGCAGTATCGTCATTTTTTTGACTTTTTTTATTGCGAGTTATCGATCTTCCTCGATTCGAGAAAAATGACAGAGATTTCTCCTCCAACCATCGAGATACCATCGATTTTAGCTTCACCAAACTACCGTGATTTTCTCATTGGCTGA